AAAGGACCAGGGGATAAAATAATTATAATAGTGAACAACTATATACCAGAGACATTTTATGGGGGTACAGTGGGAATAGGATCAAAAATGGGGCGGGGGGGAGTGCACTGGACTGTGGTGATGGTGCACAGGTGAATTGGTGGTGGGAAGCCCATGAGGATTACAACTGAGATAGAAAAAGGCACAAAATGATGTAAAAATAAGCTATTATATTATTTTTTTAAAAAGTCATTACTTCACAGAGTTATAACAGTTAGTGAATGAATGAATGTACATAAAATGCCCAGAACACTGCCAGGCATACAGCAAAGGCTGAATAATTGCTAACTTAGTGACTCATGGTTAACTTTTTTGGACTGACCCATAATCTTCTCTGTCAGCAATCTAACTACCTCTCTTTGTGGCATTTTCTGATTTTAAAGGAATGCTTCAAATGACATATGCTCTGGAGTTTCACAGAATGAGAATTATTACCTATCCTTAAATCTGTAGAGTTCAGAACTCTACTACATGTACAACATATTTGAGAAAACAAATTTTTCATGGTATCCAAAAAAGAAAAATAAAAAAGGCCAAAAGAGGAACATTTTAAAATGATATGCAAGGACATCTGTTTTTATTTCATGGAATTTCATTTAAGCAAATTTATGGATAATGATACAGAAATGTTTCTCGTGGATTTTTTTCCTCCTTTGATGAGTGCTGACTTCTCTCTGTCACTCTTCTCAAAATTAGTTTTGTGTGCCTCTATATCATGATGGGACAGATCTCACCTGGGACTTTCCTAAAGATTAGAAGTCTAAAATCTGTACCTGTTGGTTCAGAGACTGAGAACATGTACACAGATGTGAACAACCATTTAAAACATTACCAGATATACAGGAAGAGTCCTTGACATCAAGAAAACACTAGCTTTGTCATTCTAGGTGGCACATGGATGGGCTGGATTCTGCAGCAAGTATTTCAAGCAATTAATAGTAGAAGAAAAGAAAATGTCAGCAATACTTTTCCATTAATTTGTCACAGGTGTTCAAATGTTGGTGACCTAGAACTTCATGGATTCAGACTGCTGCTGTGACAGCTTTGCTTTTAGGTTATTTTAGACACGGTGGCACCAACTTTAAAGAAATTGCTTATTGGTAATGCTACAGATTGCACGATTACATTTTAACAGGATAGCTTCTCAAAGAACTAAGTAAATATTACCCAAAATTACATTGCTTCAAATTCATGTTCTATCTTTATTATATACATACTGTATTTGACTCTTTCATATTTTAATTTAAGCTTATTTCATCTCCATGTTTCTCTGTATTGCTTTTGGCCATTTTCTTGCCTTGCAAATCTTTTTCTTTCTACCTCTCCCAAAGTTTCTCTGTTCAGTTGTTTCTAGATTTTCACATTTACACATAAGCATACAAAGAGTATCTTACTAGAGGTTGCTTTATAATATTGTGAGGGAATTTGTTCTCCAAAGTAGAACAACTAGAACAAAGTAGGAATTTTTATATTTCTTGCTACGTATTGAGACATTACTCTAGAAATATCAAATTGATGCAGTTACCATCAGCATGGAATGCATGTATATGCCCCCCCATAAGGATCTCATTTTAGTTTATGTATGTAATGTATTTTAAAGTATAAATAATATAACATTTACTATCTTAACAATTTTAAGTGTACAATTTAATTGTATTAAATGACTTCTAATGCTGCTCAGCCATCAGAAGCATCCATCTCCATTCTTCTTTTCATCATGGAAAACTTAGTTACTGAGCTTTCCATTTCCTGCTCCTCCCAGCCCTGCAGCCACTGTTTTTCTCTCTGTGATTGTTGACTACTCTAAGTAGCTCACATAAGTTGAATTATACAGTACTTGTATTTTTGTGGATGTTTTAGTTTACTTCATATCATGTTTCCAAGATTCAACCATGCTGAGGATGTGTTATGATTTTCTTCCTTTTATAGATTAAATAATGTTCTGTTGTATGTCTACATCACATTGTTTGTCCATTCATCTGCTGGTGGATACTTGAGTTGCTTCCACATTTTAGCTATTGTGAATAATGCTGCCATGACTACATTTGTACAAATAGCTCTTTGAGACCTTACCTTCCCATCTTGTGAGTATAAACTCAAGTGAAATTTCTGGATCATATGGCAATTCTGCTTTTATTTTTTTGAGAAACCATATATTGTTTCCTAAGGAAGCTTTACTACATTATAATCCCATCACAGTTCACAAGATCTCTAAAATTTCTCATTGTGGGTTTGATACATATTTCTGTAATGACTAGTGATGTTGAACATCTTTTCATATGCTTACTGACTGTTTTTATAACTTCTATGGAGAAATATCTCCTTTACCCTTTGTTATTGTTAAATTGCAAATGAGACATGTAAAATGAACTAAGAAGGTGGTGTTTATACTGATTATTGCCTGAAGTATAATTGGCAATGAAAGAGTAGGACTCCAAATGAAGTTTTAAAATCTGCCTATTTCTACTAAGTAATGCTGGGTATTCCACCACTGGTGAATGTGCTTAATTTCAGAAACAAATATATATTTTTTTAAATCTTGAATTCAGAATCACTGTTGGAAGATGCCTTTCAGTGCATTTTCCTCCAAGAATCCATGGGGACAAGCCTATCCTCACTATAAGGCATCTTACCTGTAACTTGTTAGTACATATTTGTATGGGAACATTGTTTAAAAGACCATGGTAAAAAGGTTTATGCTGACCTCCTTTCGAGTAAGAAAGTCTGAGAACAAGGAGAGTTTGTTAAATTTCAGACATCACGTAAGGTAATATGAATAGTAAATATTTAGATTGTCTTTCTTCAAGCTCCTTGGTTTTATGGTCATTAATCACTCTACCAACTCAGTGAGAAAAATTCGTACTGAAGAAATAATAAAAGCTAATGTTTCCTAAGTAATTAATTGGTGCCAAAATTACTCATTTTAAATCTTTGTACATATCATCTCTTTAATACCTCAGAGCACTCTTATGAGGTCTACACTTTAGAGATGTGGAAATTTGGGGAAAGAAGGTAATACAAATTGCTTGTTGTCATGCAGGGCCAGCATTCATGTTGGTCTGCATAGACTACCTGGAGTTAGAAGTGAGAGTGGATTAGATATATTCACGAATGGGGATTCAGTTCCAGGGTTTTTGTATTACAGTTTTGAGCTTATAAGTTATTTGATGAAAAGAATTTTTAGTCAATATTAAAGAAATATTCATAAAGGGAATACTTAGATGATTTGAAGAATTGAGTTTAGTCAGTATCTCTCTGCAGGGGTAATTTAATAAGCAAGGTAGTATAATTAATATTTAGCATTTATTGAGTGCTTACTGTGTTCCAGTATCAATTATTGACTTGTGTTAATTAATTGAATTGGGAAAATAAATGTAAGAAGCATCTGGAAATTAGCAGGAAAACACAACCAGTTGGGATAATATCCTTCATTTAGTGGCAAAATTATAATAGTTTTCCTTTACTTGTGACAGTAAAATTATGACCTGGTCTTATGCAGTACTTTTATTCATAGGAACAGGAATATTTCCCAGACATTGTTCTTCAGTCTTACTGTACAATCTTCTGACACCAGGGAAGACTCAACATTTGGACCCTTGACTTGGGAGCAGTTGGGCAAGCCAGTCACAACCAGAGGGCTGAGTATACATCAGCCAGTGTTCTTCCATACATTCTTCCATATGTTTGGTCTCATAGTCTTGATGGATTTCAGAGCTCCTTTTGTGTTTTCCAAAACATGTGTTCACCTTTATTTTTCAAAGATTTATTTATGCAGTCAAGAGCTGAGGTGTAGGCCAGAGGTATGGGGGAGTGAGAGTATTCACCAGAGACAGATGGGGAGCAGAATAGGCAGATCCACTGAAATACACTGCTGAAGGGAGCAGCTGGTGAGACAGGAGGGGTCTGTTGCTCTTTGTGGCTTAGCTCCCTGGTCAGGGATCAAACTAGTGCTTCAGTGACTGTGGATAGCTTCATAGTGCTAAGGCCTAATCCCTTCTGGACCAGAGAGGTCCACATGTTTACTTTTTTTTTTTTTTAAAGTAATATAGTAGTTTATTTTCACATGGTTTTGTGCATTTTTCCATCTCAGTTGTAATCCCCTTGGGCTTCCCATCACCAAATCAGTGCATTTCCCTTCCCCCCACTGTTTTTGATCCCATTACGCACTCCACCCCCATAAAATGTCTCTGGTATATAGCTGTTCATTATTATCATTTTCTCGCCTGGTCTGTTATATCCCTGCTATGAGTGAAACCATCCTGTATTTTTCCTTTTCTTTCTGGCTTATTTTACTAAGCATGATCTTTTCTAGCTCCATCCATGTTACTGCAAAAGGCATGTGTTTATTTATTTTTTTGGTTGCTGAGTAATATTCCATTGTGTATATGTACCACATCTTTTTAATCCAGTCATCTACTTTTGGGCATTTGGGCTGATTACATGTGTTTCCAATTGTAAATAAAGCAGCAATAAACATGGGGTGCAGGTGTCTTTTTGAATCAGTGTTTTTGTGTCTTTTGGGTAGATACCTAGGAGTGGGATTGCTGGGTTGTACATGTGTTCACTTTTTGATAGAGAAGGCACTATTAATGTTCTTAAATTCTTAAGAGTTTGAGCCAACTTGCAACTTTAAAAAATTATCCAAAATTATCTCAATAAATGCCATGTATATTTCAACTAGATTATTATTATTAAATTGAAGTTCTAAGTTACTTTTACCAAAAAAAGATTATTTACCTTTGCCCATTCCTCTTACTCCTCTGCAAATAAAGAACAGTGAAACTCAAGTGTTGAATGTAGAGGGTAGGTGGTGGGTATGGTGTGAAGTATACAGCTGCTGAGGTGAGAACCATATACTTGAAGCATACATTGTGTTATAAGTTACCTTTACCTGAATAAACAGAAAGAAGAACATGATCTTTTCCAACATTTAAGGTAACCAGGTGGCTTCTTTGCTCAAGTCCTCACACAGGTGTTCAGGAATACCAGGATGGTGTGCCAAAGATCCCCACAGCATGTATCACAGTAGAAGATGCAGAAATGATATCAAGAATGGTTTCTCATGGGAACAGAGTTGTCATTCAGCTGAAGATGGGGGCAAAGAACTACCCAGATGCCGATTCCTTCAACACAGTGGCAGAGATCATTGGTAGAAAGTACCCAGAGCAGGTAAGTGAAGGATGGTGGCTGTCTGTGCCTTGGGTGCTGTGATCAAGTTTCAGATGTTAGAACTAATGAGAGAACGAGAGAATAGGATTTTGCAGAGATGATCTGCATGGGTTCATTAAGGGCAGGCACTCTAACATTCACCGTCCCCCACCCCCAACAATTTTAGTACATTAACTGAAGAAGTGCAGGATGAGTTGAAGGGCAGAATAGGATCCAAAGGGTGGAAATTCACTTCTGGATAGCTGAGGATGGTATATGTACAGGTGTGTTCTGTGTATTTCACTGGGAGCCAGCTTGGCATTGGAGAGCATACCGATAGCTAATAATTACTATGTTTATTGTGTGAATTATCTGATCTTTTCATAATTCAATGAAATAGAAGCTATGTTCTTCATAAGTGAGGAAAATAACAAAGAGGGAAACACACTTACCTCTGTTCCACATAGCCACTAAGTGATTGAGCAGAGATGCAAATTCAGGACCTGTAACTATTAAACCAAGCTTTAAGCCACATTTTATGTGCAATTTCCAGAATTTTTTTCTTAGTGACATTTAAAAATCTAGTAGTCCTAGAGCCATATCCAAATTCTGTACTAGCTGAGGGTTAGAGTTGTTTATCCTTTGAGTCTGCAAAAAAAGGGATGGTGGATATAACTAGCAGGATGGAGGTGAGGGTGAGATTAGATCATGCACATCAGAGAGGCTCACTCAATTCCTTTACTTCGTATGGCAGCAAGTGTACAAAAGCCAATTTTTATATGATTTCCTGGTGTAAATCTTCAGTACCAGTTGAAATTCTGAAAATAGTGCTTAAAAATAGTTACTGAGGAATTTCAGAGTTGTATTTATTTGAGGAACTCGGAAGGATAAAGAGGAATGATGATGGAGTTTGGGGATGGAGAGACCGTCAGCGTGTGTCCTTTCTGACTTTATATTTTACTGGTAAGTGGCATTGTGATGTGGAGACATAGGCTCCCATTTACTCAGATGGATGTCACCACTCTCCACCCATCACCAAGGCAAGCGTGGTTTCCACCATAGTGTATGTGTTCTCCCACCTCACCTTGTTCTCCCACCTGGTCACCTCAGCACTATATCAGATTTCCAGGGGTTTTTATTGGTTCAGTTTGTCTTACCTTTTATTTTGTATCTTCAAATTTCACATGTAAATGAAATCACCAGTACTTATCTGTCTCTTTCTGATTTATTTTGCTTAGCAAAATCCCTTCCAGCTCTGTCCATGCTGTTGCAAATGAAGGTTGCAAGAGTTTGTCTTTATATATCTATATGTCTATAGCTGAGAGTAATCCATTATGCATATTACCATATCTTCCTGATCCACTTATATATCCTTGGGCATGTAGGTTGTAAGTAGTGTTGCAGTAAATATAAGAGCACATCCATATCCCTTTGAATTAGTGGTTTTGCATTTGATGAAGGACCTCTCTCAGGACCTTTCCCAGACTTGCAATCTGTGCTGCAATAATAATTCATTTTACATTCAAGCTCCTTTTCTCCCATCCCAGATTACGTGCTTCCTGGACCTGGGTGTGTGTTAACCCTGGTGCTGTAGCCACAGTGATAATGGAAAAGCCTGCTCTCAATAGGACCATTGGGAATCAGATAGCTGGAGAGAAACTAGACTTTCAAGTATTGAGGGGAAAAAAGCAAGTCCAATTCCCTCTCCCTTTAAAAGCCTTGTAGCAAAAGCAAAGCTGAGAGTCTGTGTTCTAAGTATGGAATAGTTAAACTTAAGTGCAGTCCTTACCAGGTAGTCATAGTGTAGTCTCTAGTTATAGGATAATGATGCCATTTGAAGGCTGCTCGTGCTAGGCAAAAAGGATTTGTCTGGGTGAGTCTGGTTCTGCCCCTGAAGGTGTGAGCTACTAGCAATATTAGACCAGAGCAGCCAAGGGATGTCAGGGCTGAGGCTGAATCATTCAGGCATATGAGTACTTGGGGCTGCAAGAGTCAGACAGTTGAACTAGGACTGGCTCAGATACCTGGTGTCCTGACAACCACAGGCATCATCTGGCTGGGAGTCCGGGGCCTCCTTCTTAGCCTGGCCTGATTTTTAATAAAAATTAGCCTTATTGAGATATAATTTATGAAAGGTACATGTGGTAAACTTAAGTGTATAATCTGATTAAATTCTGTAAAATGTATAGAATAAGGTAGACACTGACCCAATCATAACATAGACTCTTTCTATCACCACCCACCACCCCTGTGTCCCTTTGCAGTTCCTCTGTTTCCTCCTCTACTCTCTTGTCCTCTGGTAGCCACTGCACTTTCCTCTGTAGAATTTCCTATAAGTGATTCCATGCAGCCTTTTGTACTTGGCTTCTCATTCAAAATACTCTTGAGATTCATCTGTATTTTTCTATCAATTACCTCTTTGCATTGCTAATATTCTAAGAATTCACTCAGCAATTGATGACATTTGATTAATTTTTAAACTAAAACGATGAATACCCTTTATTCATCATTTATTTGTCATGCACTATTATGTATTATGAATAAAACTTCTATTTCATATTCTTATATTTCCAAATATTTGTAAATATGTTTTCATTTCACTTGGGTAAATGCAGAGGAGTGGACTTGCTAGGCCAACCTAAATTTGAAGTGGGGAAGGGGGGGGGACATCTTTGTGTCCATTGTCTTGAGCAGTGTCTTGGTGGGGGGACAGGTAGCACCTTCATCAAGTGCATAGCTACATAATTCTAGAGAGGTCCCAGGATTAAGAATTTTCACCTGTCATATTGTTGCATCATATTCCAAGTGTTATTCATAAATATCTTGTTGCCAAGATGTGAAAGGTTGATTAACCAAAGTTCTTCCACAAAGAAGTCACAGCACTACTTCCACAGAAGGAATATAGACAAGCACAGTGAAGACTGGGGAAGTGAGTCTTGGGGAAGCCAACCTCATAGCTAGCTCACTGGGAACCATGGGGGAAGTCCAGAGTGTGAAGGGAAGTGGAAGTGGTAACTGAAAGAGCCAGACAAGTTCTGAGGCAGTCAGCCTCAGATAAATGCCACCTCTTCTACGCAGATTCTCTGAGTGACCTCCCTTCCTCCCAATGCTTCAGTCATTTTATTTTTGGTGTTCCAACAGAGCTTTCCAGTGTCTTGAGCAGAAACTTATTTTTTTGATTCCTTCTCTTTTTCCTCTAATGCCTGTCCTAGAACTTATCATGCAGTAACCTTTTAACACATTTTATTTTAGTAAGAGCAAGAGAGGACGCAAAGAAGATTGTTGGAGGATTTTCTTCATCTATAAGTTTTTCTGCCCATATGGGATACTGATATTCCACTGGAATGTTGGCCATACCCCCTCCGTGAAGCTCTGTCTGTGGACACCTGAAATCTCAACAACCGTATCCGATCCCTCACCTGCATCTCTTTCCTGTTAAAGGAGCCACATCTACCAAACAGTTTTGCTAGGGAGCTTTGTCATTTTTTCATTCTCTCCTCCTTATCACTATCCTCCAGCAAGGTGCCACAGGCTATTCAGTCTACTTCCAGTATATTTAAAAAGCATTCTGTTCCTGTCTTTCTTTCACTGTCATTACTCTCCCAGTTTGGGCCCTTGCTATTTTTCTCCTGATTTTTTTTTTCTTTCTGATCTGTGTATTTGCAATGCAGCTCAGTTGTCTTTTAAAACACGGATCTCTACATAGTATTTCCCTGCTGTCAGGCCCCCTCCTGCGTTCCCTGTAAGATAAAGATTATGGAAAGAAAATACTAGGTTGAGTGACCAGGCATGAGCAGAAGAAAGAGGAAAAGAGACAAAGAGTTTTGGGAGGATTAAATAGGAGGTAGTTCTAGTTCAGAGGAGATTATATAGTAGTGTTGATAAATGAGCAGAGAATGAGAGCAAAGAAAGAGGGAAAGGAAATGCATGATAGGGATTCAGTGCCAACTAAGAACCTCTGTTTCATTAGCCAGTGAAGGAGTTCAGCCCTGCTGAACCCTGGCAAGTTTTCCTAAAGTTATTCAGCTTTGTTTTTAATTATAAGCAATGCTGACAGTGACATAAACACTGTCCTTAATAGTTCAGGTTTACTAACTTGTCTTTGACACATCCTTGCTACCTGTTCCATACTGTGCTAAAGAATAGTCCTATATAATCCTGAACAAATTGGTTGCAAAGAAAATTATCTCTAAAAAAAGGAATTGCTGAAATTACTATTATCCTGCTTATAAGTTGTACATCCTGGATGACTTGAAGGGAGGCTAATACTCAGTATATTAGCCTCTTCGGCTTAACACTTTATTATATAATCTAGCCATTCTGAACAGAATTAACCACAGGCTTTAAAAAAATACAATAATATAAATACCTTATTGGGTTTCAATATCTACCAATAGCAAACCAGGGGTATTTACACAAAAATCCTATGATTTTCCTAAAAGAACCCATGTTGGCTTGTTTAGACTCTTTTAAGACCAATATTCTCTGTCTACTCTGATATCGTCAGAAATTATTCCTCTGTGATTTAGTGAACACTTCGAGGGGAGGTGTTCATTGAGTGAGAGCAGTTTTCTGGAAGCTCTGATGTTAGGCATCTCATCTCCGATCTCTCAGACAGCTTTATCCCTGGGAAACAATTGTATCCTTCAGAATGTGTCTGAGAGTGAGAACTCCTGAGCTGATCCTTCTTAACACTAAAGTAATCCTTCCTCCATGTATTAAAGAACTAATTTGTATTAAAAAAATTCATAGAAATGTTTGTGCCAGCCATGAATCAATTTCATTATTTTAATCAAAAAGTCTATCCAACTACTTAAAATCATCTGAATTGGAGGCCAAGACAAGAGAAGTAGGGATTGTAACAATATATTGCCCACTCATTGATCTTCAGATGAGGAAACTGTGAGTGACTTGCCAAGAAGATAACAATCAGTGCAGGGTAGGAATATGTCTGGAATGAGATTCCAGATTTCCTGACTCCCATTTCTTTCTACTCCAAAGGCAATTCATTATGCCTGGGT